CTGAAGATGGAGCATCTACGTTTAATTAAAGGGATAACTTTAGCAGAAAATGCCACTCCAGCTACTGTCAGAATGCATGATTAATTTGTGATAAAACACCCGGCACTGTCTAACAGAGGCACACGGCTGGGGGACACGTATTTACACAAGCGCTTGCTACTTCTTCAAGATATTAGCAATGACCCTGGGCTTGGTGTCAGTGCATGAAAATGAAATTCTCACATGTGGTCTGCCGAAGCCTCAGACTTGCCGGAGGCTTTCTGAAGCAGCCCAGCACGACGGCGTGCCATAGAAGAGGAGCGACAAACACGCGGCCCGCCACGCTCAGTGGGGTCACTTGCCTCCCTCTTCGCCTCGGTTCATCAGCCCATCTCCAGCAACACCAGCACGGAGCCTTCCTGAAGCTGGTTACACCAGCCCTTTCCTAGGCACCTCCTAACATCTCCTTTCCTCACCACTGCAGCAGGTGCAGCATCTGCTGCTCATCAACCACTCTTTCAATTAACATTTTTTTTTCCCCCTCCCCACGATTGTTTACTCTTTTAAATAAACCTGGGCTGAGCTACTCTCCACTGCCCCCAAAGCACAGAAACAGAGCTTAGCTGTCATAACTTTGTTATTTGAGACTGTAGTCTCCATAACACAGCTGCAACAAGCGAGGTTCACATGTTAGTATCCTTGGAAATGAAGATCTATGGAATGCCATCGAAAGCCCCTTCAAAAATTCATGCCGCAAAGAACCTGTATTGTTAGCATTTCACATCCCCACTTGGATGTTTGTTTGAATTCATAGTTAAAGGGTTAATACAGTTTGTATAAAGCTTCCTAGGGGAAAATCCTTTGCTTCCAAAGAGGTTTCCCACCTCATGCACGTGATTTCCATGATTTCTTAAGGCAGCCACGTTTAATGGCAGTGTGAAGTTGTGTCCAGGAAATTAACTTCTCCACGTACATCATGTGGATCCTCATGGCCACACCATACCTAGATCCTTCTGTGAGCAGGGAATGGATGGGACATATGGATGTCTCCACAGACATTCAGCTTCAGAACTGAGCATCATGAAGATGCTAGGGAAAAGCATAGAAAGGAAACAAGGATGTAGCCAAAATACACATTCAACAGGGCATCCCATAACTTCTTGGAGATAGGTGGTATAGTTTACATGTACATATCATACAAGGGTGAGCTGGGCTAGTTGCAAGACTCTTGGATCCCCTTTTCTAGCCACTAGACTTCCACACTGCTTCCTTCTCTTTCTAAAAGAAAAAGACTTTTGCAGGCTTTCTACAGTTCTAGCATTTTCAGTAATTAAACTTATCTCTGAGGCAATCTCATTTGGGATTACCAGGTTTCCTATCTCCAGGCTAATGGGGTCAAAATGCTTAGCTGCCCTCCTGCCTGCCAGTTTATAGAATTTTGCTAATGGATCATTTCCTTCCATGGGGATAACACATTGGCTATTAGGTGCTCTCTTGTTGCACTGTGATTTTAGGTGGTCAGGCAGTAATAATAAGTGCTCTAGTTATATGGGATACTTTATTGCCAGATTAAATAGAGTAACAAAGCAGCGAGAATAACTTCTTGCTCATGACCTTGCTGGCAAGGCTCTCCATGAAAGACAAGGGGGACTCCTGCAGCTAGCTCAGTGGTTCCTCACTTTCCACTTAGCTTATGCTCTGCCACAGATTTTAACACATTTGGGCTTCCAAATTGCAGTACTGCCCCAAGCACTATACTTAAATGCCCGTGTCCTAGGAGAAACCCAGCAAAATCAGTTTATCTGTACTTTAACTCCTTCCCCATATAAATTCTGCATCTGAAATACCTTGTTTTGTCTCAGTGTTACTCATGCCTTCATTTTACATTGTCTCACTCTTCCGTTGCTGCAGCAGTCAGAGGTCTGACCAAATTGGCAGCTCTGTGTGTTGAAAGGGGAGAAGGAAGAAAAGAGAAAAAAATATGCAGTATGCGACCTATCCCTTTTAGGCAAAGTGGAGTCTTTCCAAACAAACCAGCACAGCATTACTTGGACTGCATTCAGACCTGCAGAAATTGGCTTCTTGCCACTCTCATCACTCCAAAGCAAGTTTTATGCGGGAATAGGACTGTTATATACTTAATAGGTCCTGGTCTTACTGTAAAGTGGGATGATAGTGACTTGTGCTCACAATGTTGATTTTCTGGTAGGAGCATTTAATATGATTCATTAGACCCTAACCCGTGAATGAGCTAAAGTGATTTCCGTCCCCCCCACCACCATCCCTTCAAGGCCATTACGTTGCACAGAAAGCAATAATCACTTGTCAGGCTCTCCACTTTGCACACAGAGCCTTATTTCCATAGAGGTGAAAATATAATAGTTCACTCAAATGCTCTTATTTTAAAGAATTTAGTGCACTCAGTGTGAACCTCACATTCTTGCCTGTTTTTTAAGAAAAGGAGAAAAAAAATCAGATTACAGACAACCAGTTTGACAGGGTTCCCATTCACAAGAGCTCAAGACAAGATGAATTAAGTTAATTGGGGGTAAAATGAAGCACTTTAAAGTGTGTCTCTGGAGCTCACAGAACTGAGAGAAGCACAGAGAAGATCTATTCAATTATCTGTGGCTGTGAGATTTGTTTTGTGGAAATCACAGCATTCAATCCATCCGTTCATATCTCTCTCTTTGCCCACGATCCCTTCAGACCTCATAGGCTAAGCCATCCAGCTGGATCAGCCTAAACCAGAAGCTGTCAAAACTCAAACTTTGACTCCATTAAAAAACAGTGTAGATGCTTGCCAAGTTATTTTTAATGCTGCATATAATGACACTGAAATACAAGTGAAAGGTGCCTCACATGGGTCCAGACACGTCTCCTGTTACAGACTGGATTTATCAAACCGCACACAACCTGTGATTTGATCTGGGATCTTCCTGAACAAAAGACAAGTCATTAACATCCTCTAAACACCCTCACGCAAGGATGTATTAAGACAAAGAATAATCACGCACAGGCGGAGCTTTGAATGGGATCTTGATTTAAGCATCCGGCATCTCGTCTGCTGGGTCGTAGCTGCCGGCAGGTGACCTGATCTGCTCTCCGAGACCAGCGCTCCTGGCCAGCCACATCTGGGGACAAAAGCAGCACGGAGCGGGGCGCAGAGCTGGTCGGGACGCTCTGCCTCCCGGACACGGCTGCTCCGTGACTCCCCACTGAACTCCCGCTCACACCAGAGGTGCCAGGTGCAGGCAGCTCGGGAACACGCAGCCGGAGCCGCCGGCGGAGGAGCAGCGTCCTCCCTTCGCACACCTCTAACATGCCTGCCGGCACAGCTGCTTCCCGCAGCTGCCTCCACGGAGACGAGCCCTGCCCCAAACATCACATCCCAAAATCCCAGGGTTACAAAGAGGCCGGATGTCAAGCGGTGCCCTGGGCCACATGTTAATCCAAGGTAGACAAGTCCAGTGATGAGCACGTCTACAGCCCAGTTACAGACAACACTGGATAGCACAGAGCATCAGACAGTAAGGACTCTGCCCCTCTGAAACACCCATTTTACACACTCAACCCAATCAGTACCAGGATACTTCACCAGATTATGCTACTGGTAAAAGGGGAGAAAAAAGCTTAGCTTGTCAGCTTGAGTTTGATAACGGGGTCACCATCCACATGGATGCAAAGCCAGGGTGCTCCAGCATATGGACAGTGATAACTTGTCAGGGCGAATTCTTCAGTACAAGGAATCCTGCAACTCTGCACTGCAAGCCTGCACGTAATGGAAAAAATCACACTCGAGTTAAAAGAAATCAAGCTTGCGAGAAATATATATGGTAGCCCCAAACACATGAAGTACAGGTAGAAGGTCTTCATTTAAGTCTCTCTTGCTTGGAAAATAATAAATGCAGTTTTTCCCTACTTCATGTTGCTTCCCTTTGATGAGTAATAAATGAAAAGGCAGCTGAAAACAGAATGCAAGTGCAAAGCCCCAGATTTAAAAGGGACAAAAAGTCCATCTGTCAGAGAAATCCAGAAATCCAAAGTACCAGCGCAGAGGCCACCTGCCAAGAAGGTTTTGTGTTTATGTTAAATGTGGCTTTAAGGAACAGAAATGTTCTTAAAGATAAAGGCAGTCGCAAGAATGACTAACCAAGATGCACAGACAGTAATTCCCTCCTTTGATTTCCTCTGCTGTCACTACTATCAGCTAGACATCTGAACGAAAATCAGCTTAGAAATTTTGATTCCTTAAAAACAGAAAAACAAACTCATAATCCTTAGAGGAATACAGAACTTTTTGTCCTCCTGTGCACCACCTTTGGTGCAGTGCAGGAACAAATCAGACCATGGCAGGGCTGCAGCTCTCCCCGAGGACCCCAGTGCCCTGTCACGAGACGTGTCAAGACGCAGAAGCATCTTGTGCTGATGGACCTCTCCATTCCAGATCATTCTGCTCGTCAGACCAGCTCAGGGAGCACGATGCTTTTCACAGCTCGTTCTGCTTTCCAGACTTAAAGTGAGAAGAATTCATTTTTCTCCATCCAGAACAGAGAGGATTGACTCTCCGTCTTGTCACAAGAGGCAAACCTGCATAGAGGAACCTGACCTTTCTCCTCACTATTCCTAATACATTCAGATGCTAAAATATCCATCTTCCTTCCCTAGAGCTCAGTGCTTCCTAGAGCACAGGAGACATTACTATGCTTTTACGCTGAATTAGAATATTCTTATTCTTTTTGTTTTGCCTGAGGCCAGAATTCAAGTGCTGGAGAATGAAAACACAACAGGCAATGCCTAAGAACAAAAAACTCATACAAGGAGAGATGAAATAGGATGAGTAGGAGGCAGCTCTGTGGCAATATAATTACTTTAGAAGGTAATTACCTGTCCTAAGGTAGCACTTGAGGGCTACGTGGAAAACCTCTGTGGTCCCAATCCTTCTTGGATGCTCATATCACAGTGCTAACACCAAGTTCTGGATATAAAAAGCTCCAAATTGCAGAAATATGTACTCAGCACAAGTGATCAAACTGTAGTATAAATCCAGTGCTACCTGCTCACTTGATGTCACAGGCACACAGACACTGTTGGAGACTTTCCAAGTTATCTCCTTGTCACTTGGTTACATGCTGGGTCCTACACTTCCCGCTGGGAATAGTTTGGCTTTGCCTCCTCATGTGGCTCCTGCTGGGACCAAGGCAGGAAAGCAGCTGTGGGAGAATAAGCCAAACTGCATGTCAGATTATGGGGTCAGAACAACATACAGGATTCACTTCCCAGCTATCTCTTCTATGCTAATGCAAAATCATTTATTTTAACAGCTAGCCCTGACTTATCCCATCCAGCTCCCCTGCAAGGGACGCACTCAGCATCAGGGGGCAGCTCTGCACATTTCCTCTTGCCAGCCACATACTCAGCAGCTCCATTAACCCGTTCCCAGGGGCCTGAGCCACTCGTGACACTCTCCAAGCAGCATCTATCACCTCCACAGCCCCTAGAGACAACCTGGCTCCTCCTAAAGTCCCCCTGTGCCAGTGGAGAGGGGTGCCAGAGCAGACACGCACTAGACTCTGCTTTAAAGTGAACCTTATTTCAACCCCCTTCTGACATGAAATCTTCTATATTTTCTTCCCCTGCCACCAAAACCTAAGGGATGCTACTGCACTTCTACAAGGCTCCCTGAAGAGCTCAGCCCCAGAGAATCAACTCCTCTTTGCTGTGTTTTAGGCTCCTCGCCACTCTCCACTAGACTGGTTGCGGTCCAGATTATGGCCCTCAGCAGGGTCATTTGGACAGAGCCCTGTCCCCTGCTTGCCAGCCCTGAGAAGGAAGCCTGGCCACTGCATGTCAGCAATTGAAGGGTCATTCTTAAACATATACACATACATACACACTCTAGGCTTAACGCCCTTGTACCCTGGCCATTAAGTATAATTGTATTCTACATCAATCACACGATTTTTTCCCCCTTAAAGGATATTAAGTGTAATTTCTACTATGCAAATAGTCCCAGCTTCATTAATGGATTTTTAGTTTCCAGTAGAAGTTACTCTTTGATGAATGTGTCCAGATGTCAGTGCCTGAAAGATGTATTGGAAGGAAGAAAAATTCTCTGGTGCAATGTAAAAAGGTCCATTGGAAGGTGGGGGTTGGGCAAGCTAGAATTATAATGAAAACAATTAAAATTCCCATCTCATGACCATTTACAGATCTTCCAAAGGGGCTCTAAATTAAAGGAAAATGTCACAGAACATAGATGCTTCTGCCAAAAAGCAGCATTAAAAAAAATGACAAATCCCAAACAGTTCGAAAACTCCAGTTAAATCCAACGTGTAAGATTTCAAGAGCTCAACCAAAGCAAGCAAAATAGGTTGGGGTGAGGGGAAGGAAGAGCAGCAAAGAAATCAGGTCCAACAGGCTGCTACAGGAATGAAAGAGGGATGACCAGGTAAAAGCTGTCCAGCAGAATACCCCACCACTAAGAGACCTATGGATTTTAGATGTTTTCCCCAGTGTAACTGATATCTTTTCTACCATCATGTCTTTAACAAATTCAGACTCTGTTACTATAGCCTCAGTTATTGCCTTTTCCCAACCACAGATTTTTTTTTTAAAGGTTAAAACCTCTGAACATGAGAGATATCATATAATACCAAGAGTTGCTGGATGAAGGTTCTCCCTGCTCCCAAGCCCCAAATCAACGTGGAGAGATGGCTACGTGGGCTGCATTTCCTCCACTTTTTTTCATTGTTGTACTTTCCTTATCTGCAAGGCTGTGAGAAACCTTTTTTTGGAATAATTTCTCATTTATATAGTGCCTCTGTTGGTGTGCTTGTGGATAGGGGATCTTGTTTTATTTTTAACCTTTTGAAAAAAAGAAAAAGAAAAAAAAAAGAAAAAAGCAAGCCATCTGCCTGAACTTCTCCTTACACTCTCTTTTACTTAGGTTTACACTGGAGAAACCTCAATTATAAGAAATACAATAAATATTTATTGAACTGGTGAAAGCAATAGCATATGCTAAACACGCTCTGTTTTCCTGGATATTTTTTCTCCCCCCTTCATCAAGCCCTTGTTCTGTCAGAACTGTTTTCATGTTAGCATTAGTCAGTCACTCCCCATGTGTCAGTAAATGCAAAATGCGCCTGCTGCGAGACAGCGAGCGCGGGTGCCACTTTGCAGCTCCTCGGGACGCGAGCTGGCGCGCGGACAGACAGCACGCGGAGGGTGACAGGCACCGCCGCCTCCCGTCCCCAAACACCACACCGGGAAAGCGAGAATACCTTGGGAACAGGGCTCCGGGCAGGCGCGTGGAGCTGAGACAAGCTCCTCGTCGCCCATGATGAGGGAGCATCGCCTTGGTGCCAAGAGGCCCCACGGGAAAAGCAGCCCCTGTCCCTGAGGGTGGGCTGGGGGGCTGTAAGATGTCTTACTGACAAGCACTGCAATGATCCCACTCCTCATTACGGACTCACACACATCAAGCTGCAGCAGAAACATGTTTTCCTTCCCTTCCTGCCCTACACAAACATCAGCTTTGGACACCCGCACTTGTAGAGCCTTGGGACTGGTCTGTCTGCAAGCTTGGTGCTCTGAGGACTAGAAGATGGGAAGATGGGAACTTGTGTTAGACCATCTCCTGCCTGGTGACAGGCTCAGCTTGTGTTAGACCATCTCCTGCCTGGTGACAGGCTCAGCTTGTGTTAGACCATCTCCTGCCTGGTGACACGCTCAGCTTGTGTTAGACCATCTCCTGCCTGGTGACAGGCTCAGCTGTCCAAAGCTGATCTGGTGGCTGGTGAGCAGGGCAGTGAATCGCACTCTGAGCGCCTACTACCCCAGCCAAGGTCACTACAAGTACTTGCCATCAAACTCAGTGTCCAAAACTGGGAGCACATGCCTATGCGATCCCATTCCATATCATGCAGGCAGACTCTGATACTTCCACCTTGGGGTAGAGCACCACTGCCAGAGGAAGTTACAGGATAGGAACTTATTGTTGACTGAATCCATTCTTATTGTTTTACTATCTATTACCCTCAGGTTAGTGTTTCTGATAGCTCATGGATTATCAGAAAAACAGAAGTGGTTTCAACACTGCACCTCATTTGCACTGACATGAGAAAGACAAAAAATGGATGAGGAGGAAAGAGGAGGGAAAACAAACAAACAAACTAAAAACCTAAAACTCAGATCCTCCTCCGGAGTTCACCTTCAATTCCCAGGGAAGACTTTTCTCCTGAAAACTGCTACAGAATGATTAGTGAGGAGTTGCATTCAAGACCTCTATTTAATCTCCCATCCATCAGTTGGCACCTTTGGCATTTCAGCAACCCAGGCTTCCCACTACACCCGGCACTTACATAGCGCTTCACCTTCTCTAAGCACTTAATTGGTATAATAGGTTAATGCCAATAGTTTAGCTCAGCACTGGCACAGAACAGGACCATCCCACCATAGATTTCAGTCCACAACTGTTGAGGAACTTATTCCTCTCCATCAAGTAACACCTTATGGACAGGATCTCAGCAATTACTATAAACCAGTTAGGCTTATAAAGAAGCTATGAAGAGCTAGATGGAATATGTAGATCAACATCTCTTAACCCTCCTTCACTTCGTCCTGATATAGGGATTCACGTTAAAAAACAGGCATCTGGGTTGAGGTTGACCTGATATGCAGCAACATGATCACAAGCACCCTCACATACCTCCACCGGGCTGAACTCTGCTCAACTGCATTTGCCAGTAGCATTGCCACAGTCATTTGATGATATTTCAGAATATACCAATGCCTTCATTTCATACAGAAAACTCTTCCTTAAAGGATAACCATCCACCCAAGAGAAGGCTTAGCAAGCACGAATGCTGCCTATAGCAAAACACTTCAGAATGGAAGGCATTCTTGGACATCTTGTTTGGCTGGGATTTAATAAGTGTGAAATAAGTGTTATCATCAAATGTAATACTCATTTCCCGAAATAATACTCTGACACAGCACTTGTTATTTCAGCTGATCAGAAACATTGCTTAAGTAATAGGAATTCCTGATGAGTAACCCAGGAGCCCAAGTCAAGATTTTTATTTTAACCTAAGGCAGTTACTTCTCTTTACTCTGAGTGTTTACAACATTTGTAAGAATTCTTCTGTTACCATCAACTTAAACATCATGTTCTCCCAGCAGTGGAACAAATACTGGATGATTAAGCGTTGATGCCCAAACACTGATGTGTTTGGGATTAACAGCCATACCTGTTTAAGGTCTTTTTTTTTAAATTTTTTTTCCCTCCATATTTCAATAAGCAAGAGCAGAGAGGGAATTTAAGCCCGTAAGGCTCTGTGAGCAAGTGCAGGAAAGACCTCAGGCAATAGCAATGGGATGTTGCCAGTCCTAGGCAAGTTCTACAGGTTGGAAATGCCTATCTTCAAAAAAGCTCACTGTCAGACACGATATTTTTCAATAGAGATAAAACTGATGGGAGGTTTTCTTTCTGCATTTCTGTCTGCTTTTGGCACAGCAGACCTGTGTGCATGAGAAGCAGCTCTGACTTGACAGCGAGTTGTAAAGCTTTCCCTCTTTATCAAAGCAGGGCAGACGAGACAGCCTCTCCTGTAAATGGCTTTTTAATTGAAAGATTAGAAGTTCTCTTATGCAGTTTGCATTAAGCACACAAGAGTGCAGCAGTTCAGAAGAGTCACCTAAAGCACAGGCATTTCTGAGATCTGGCAGCCCCAGAGTGGGAAGTGGCAGGGATCATCACCATAAGATGGGGCCAAGCCTGGGTCTCCCACCATGAGGTCAATGCATGCTTCAGGTCTGGGTGGAAGGAGCTTGATGAACAATTAGGTATCTCAATATTTCAAGCACAGCCTCTCTGTGGTAGGGCCATACATCATCAAGAGAAAGTTCCCCTCCTAAGAGGGGTTCCGGTGCTGCCTGGCTCAACAGGGAGGACGTTTTTTGTTTCTTGGCAGCTGGGAAGCTCCCACCCTTGCCACCTTCCCCACATAGAGCTGAGATCTCTTGCAAGTATGCAGAGGGAAACACCGGAGGCCTGGGCTGCAGCTGAGTTCAAAGGCCAGGGCTGACTGTGGAGAGCACTTTTTATAAGGCAGTCAACTATTGTGGTGGGAACCAAACTTCCTGTTTGGGGAAAGGGACTGACTTAGTTTAGTGGCAAGTGGAAAGGAGAAGTTGGTGACAACATTAGCAGCCCAAACTGCATGATCAAAGTCTCTATTCAGGCCATCAGATTTCATCAATTTAACCTGTTCTTGACTCGTGCAACTCTGTAGCACAGCAGTGAGAGCTGAAACACTTCTGTCCAACGGGAAAAAAGGCCAGGACAATTTGAGCATATCCCAGTAAACAACCTAAACAGACATTTGGCAACATCCATTCTCCAGGGCTCTACTGCCCCTGACACTTCACAGCTCCCCCTTGCACTGGCATGGAGCAGCCAGAAAACCCCAATTTCTGCAGGAAACTGCAGGAACAGACACCCAGACCAGCACAGGAACAGTAAGGGGAAGTCTTATGATTTTAATGTCACAGAAAATATTCAGCCCTTCCCAGGAATAATCTCTAAACCACTTTAAGTTTGCTCAAGGAACCCTGCCCATAAAATCCAGACATTTATGCTACATAACCAAGAGAGTTGCCAACATGCTGGAAAACAGGAACCAACGATAAACACCCACAAAGTAGTCCCTGTCAAACTAACACAGATGAACATTTCTACTTATTATTGCACAGCCATACGCAGCACAAGACATATTTCCAGGCTCAAATGGTTCATTATGAAAGAGAACAGACAAAGAAAACAAAAACAGTGTCACTGGGGGAGAGCACCTCGTGTGAGCACCCGCTGTTCCACGTTGTACCACCCGCAGGATAAGACAAACCAGGCCCACTCGTGCAGGACAGCAATGCCTAGAGTTGCAATTACTGTAAATAACCCAACTGTTTTCTTCAAGCTGGTTGAGAAGAGACTATTTCAATAAAAAGATGTGGATTTTATCCAGCTGAGAATCTTTTTGTTTGAATCCAGCTTAAGGAGAGAGAAGTGAGAGGGAAAAAATAAAAGGGAAGTTCTTCTCTTTAAGCCTTGCAGAAATCATCCATCACCCATCTGTCCACCTTGCACCTCATTATTATTATTCAAGACTGAAACGAGCATGCCAGTTCCGCTTTTCCCTGAAGAAGGCTGGCATCTAGACAGATAGCAACTGCTATCAAAATGTTTCTTTTCTATGCTCTGCCCTCCCTCAACCCCATCCCTTGTGGTAGGAATAAATACGCAACCCTTAAAGTAAATAAACTAGGTTTAATGAACCATCAAGAGGGAGGAAAAGAAATGCTGAAGTCTGTTTTCTTCCGTTAGACTTTCAGGCCTCCATTAAATCACTCTCCTCATGGTCCCTTTCATCCTCCCGAGTTCTCAGTACAAAGTAAAACTTGATTGCAGATACACGCAGGCTTCAGGATGCGAGGCACATCTGTCGTTCAAACCGCAAGTCCAAAACATAGCTACAACCACACTGTAACTCTTCTGGACATTGTTCTAATGAGAGGATTTTAGTTTAGCGTGCATTGGAGTAGCAGCTACCACAACCCATTAGAGGTCTCTCAGCTGTTTGCTGTAATAAAGGCAGGGAAATTTAGGGGAGGCTAAGTATAAACTCCAGGTTCCAGAAGTATTTTAAGGACTGGAGCCATCCCACTGGCCAAACGGGAAACTAAGTCATCAGTGTAAACATATCCTCTGTTCCCTGGAGGCCTATCTGCAAATCTTTCTCATGCAGGGGCGATATTCCCAAACCTGACCTTGCTCAGTTTTTGGTTAGAGTACTCCAGGTACCCTCCAGTCAAATTGTCTACCCCAAATTTAAATTCTCACCACCCAGTGCAATAAAAGTAAGGTGAATGACAACATTTTTCACATCCTCCTCTATTTTGGATGCAGAATTTGTGGAATAACTTAACAGGGAGCACCGCTCCTGACGCGAAGGTTATAAGCCCCACAACCAACCAGAGATGAAGCCACATACTACTCTACGTTAAAACATAAGCTTTAGTAAATAAATTAGAGCCCCAGATGCATTTGAAAGCACAAGGCCTTTCCCCTCACTCTCCTAGATGGAGAATAACCTTGTGACAAAGAGGGAACGGGGCAAATGAAGTGTCCTCTCCACAATAACACTGTCCCATTTTGGTATCTCACATCAAACAACATTCTCCTTTATAACAAGCACAGCAAGAATATTTATCAGGAAAAACATAAGCCAGAGAAGGTGAGAATTTTTCCCCCTCTACGTTATCTCAGAATTTCCTTCCTGTCAAAGTTTCACACTTTGGCTGATGTGTTTTTTCATGTAATACATACATACAGTTTATGCAGGGTCATATCTGCCTGTGCCTATGTTAGAGTACTCTATCCTGTGCATTCATATGGGCGGTCCTGGGGACATGCAGCTCAGATGGCAGCTATGTGAGTAGCTAGATTTGATGAATATAGGGAAAGCTCCATTTGCTCTTCATTTCCTCAGGGTGTTACTTCTCTGGGACTTCAGGTCTCAGACAGCAAGCATAAACCTGGGGAAGGGGCTGCACAACCATGCGATGCAATTTGGGCTTCAGCATGTGGGTGCACACAAGATACCTCGCAGACATCCTGGTGACTCCAGGTCCAGACCAGAAGGTGGACCTATGAGGACCTATACCAACATCTTGCCTTCTCCCTCCTCCTTCCAGAGGGAAATTTCCATTTCATATGCCAGTGGCTTAGCTTATACCAGAAACCTCTCTCTCTCATTCCCCAAATTCATTAAGATCATTAAGGCATTCACCCCACTCACTGGTAAGCCAAGATAATTAGCAAATGACTTCTTGATGCTACGGAAACATGTTGAGAAGGTTTTTGTGCAAACACAGAAGCTGGGATTGGCACAGGGGAAGGGAAGGAAGCCCCACAGGAATGCAGCACTTCAGCAAGTGAACTAAGAACAGGCACATCCCAAACATGACAAAACCAAAGCCATCCCCACACTGCGAACAGCCAGCATGGATACAGACCATGTTACAAGTGCAGTGCTAGCAGCAGGAGCTTAGAAATCAGGTTCTCTTACAGGCAGTGCTGAACTGCCTGCAACTCAGGCATTCAGCTGAAACTCTTCAGGGTTTAACTCTGATTGTATTTCCCATAACACCTGTTACTGAACATGGTGTTTGAGGGACCCCAAGGCCTGATGCAGCTGGGCTGCAAGGGGGGGATGCACCAGTAAGGAGCAGCAGCTGCTGCAGGCAGGTTGGCGAGTGCACGAGCTGCATCTCAGCATCTCCCCTCAGCCCCCCAGAGCACGTCACCTCTCACATCACATTACCCAAAGTGCTGTTTGTTCAACATCTTTTATAGTTTTCAGTTTCACATACTCAAGCCAGAGCACTATGATCTGCTACGGACAGAGGCTTTTTCCAATAGCTTGTCCCTAAAAAGAGTAGCAGAGTTTAAGTGTCAGTTATTTCATAAATATAAAATAGCCACATTTGGATTTCTTTTCTTAAAATGAATCTGCTTTACTCCTTTAGCTGCTTACTCATTTGCACTTACCTTTTAGTGTGAATCATGTAAAAGGTTTTGGAACAAGTACAGAAGAAGAATAAAAATATAATGGTTTCTCAGTGCTTGAGGGCATAACTCTAATTAAAAAGAACATTCTTGCTTTTAGCACCCAGATTTCTCTCCCTCCAAACTCTGAACTTTGACATTTTCAATCTGAGATTTAAAACAAGAAAGTAATTCTCCATACCACAGTGGAGAACTGGCTGCACTGTGCAGTGGAAAGAGGTGTATGGAGGGAGAGGTTGAAGTATAATAGACTCATCAGGGTTTTGCACTAGGAAAATGGCTATTTGCTCACACACAGAACAAAGAAAAAGTACACTCCTCATCAGACATCACCATTGATGTATCAGTTATTTACAATGCCAGAATTTCAACAATGAACAGGTACGTGCACTCTCAGACAACACCTCAAATAACATATATATATAAATTGATTTTATTCAAGTTTCCACGCACCAAAATCCGTTATTCTCTGACCAAGTCCATTGTTGCCTGGGAGTAACCAAGCCTGAGACCAGAACTGCTGTTTGTCTGCATAACTTGTCTCTAGGAGCATCATCTGAGATGGCTTTTTCCCCACCTCTATTCAGCTAGCAGGTCTGGCAAAGGAAAAACCTCAGTCGTGTTGCATGCATTAGGGCACCTTTAGAGCTGAATTTATTTCACCTGCTCCACCATCAAAACCCACCTCTATGCCATATGCCAGGCTGCCAGGAAAAGCCCTTGCAGATAAGAGATTATAGAAACACCTCAGATTACAGAGCAAGGGCCATAGTAGATGTCTGAACCAAAAAGCATTCACATTTCCCTCTAAAAAAATTGTATAAAAAGTTGACAAGCTAAGAGCATACCACTTACCTCTAGTTCTCAATAATCCTTTTCTCTAGCTTCAGCTCTGCTTCAGCCCTGTAATCTGCATTTAGGTCACTCAGTAAATTACCAGAGCAAAACCCAAATTAACAACAGATTACCAACATGCCACAGGTGTGGCCACTAACACCTTATTCACAACACATGTTTGACTTAGAGTTTCCTTTACCTTTGTGAGGTATTATTTATTAAAAAAAAAAAAAAAAAGAAAGTAAATGTGATGTGTGTTTTAGAATCTACTTTTATGAGCAGCTGAAAAGTACTCAGTCTTGGATTTAGGGGAGGAAAAATACAGAAAAAGTATAGAACCAGGTCCTCAGGAAGTAGAAATCTTGACACTAGATCAAGACAAACTAATGAAAATTTTTAGGTGTGGAACCAAGACTCTGAAGACAGCAATTTGGAAAGATGCAATACAATTAAAGATAGTAATAATTTAAAATTAACAAATGCTGGTCTATTTTACCTCTAATAAATTACACTCCATAGTTCATGTCTTCTTGCAGCAGGAGCAATTCAATCATATTACCTTCAGTCAATAGCACTGTTGATTTTATTTTGTGTTTCAATATATGGGAAACATTTGCTAACAGTAAATCAAAAAAAAAAAATGTGTGTATTGATTTCCATATGAAAATCGGCTCAGGAGCTAATGTGAACAGGGGACTAAGTTCTTGTAATAGTTCATATCCAGCACTTATTCCTAGATAATGCACTTGTAGCTGAGGCTAACAGAAGGGATTTACAAGGGAGCAACCTGCACTCCAGTGGGACAGCCGACCCCATGCATCACCCCAGTAGGAAAACTCAGCATTAACCAACCTGACCAAAGTCCTGACATTGCAATGCAGAGCACTAACAAGGAGCTAACAGAGCAATATGGACTGTCCACAGGGACCTCGGTAAGGAGCATCCCTGTGGTAGGGCCTGCCAAGAAACTATTCTGCTCAGCAGCAGCTGCAGGTAATTTATTGTTGACTTTGCACCCTCTGCCCATAGAAGAGCTTTAACTAGTTTGTGGATGACTGATCAGCTTTAGCTGTCAGATGCTTCAAAGAAAGACAAAGACAAAATGCAGGTGTTGCTATAGAGTGAATCTTTTCCCTCTTGCTCTATTGTAGACAGGAGAACAAGTATTTCAGTCTGTGTAAGAGCAAAAATGGACGCAAAACATGAGTGTTTGCCAAGGAAAGGTCAGAGACAGGAAAAAAAAAAAAAAAAAAGTAAAATCTAGCCAAATCAGAAACCTTCAAAAGGGCCAAACATTGATCCAAAAGACAGCTGCCTAACAGCACTGCAGAACAGGAGTCCTTACACACTTGCGGAGGAAGAGAGAGACATGGACCATCCCATCCACCAGTTGGAGTTAGATTGTGAAAACTATAATGCTCAAAGGAGGCTTTTTAAAGTTGATAAAAATGGGAAGTTGCAGGGGAAGCCTGGGAGGTTTGGCTGTTTTCAGAATTTCTATCAAAACCAGAATTTCACAATCATTACCAGAGACGAAAGAGAAAGGGAGGTCCCAGCACACACAGCCCCACAGCACTGGCATGCCTCCCACTTCTTTCTGTGGGATCTTTCTGTGGCTACTAATCACAGTTTTTTTTACCACACCTGCTTTCTCTCTCAGGAATTTCCCATCTAGACAAAGTTCAACTTGACCAAGTTTATCTACAGACGCTCATGACTGTGGGTTCAATTTTCCAAGCCAATTTCAAACTTTAAATGTCAAATCATTCAAGAATGATTTAGGCACTTGGAAAAAAAAAAAAAAAAAAGCCCTAAACCTCTACTGATTGTTTGTAACTAAGAGTCCAGTTTCAATTATTCAACTCATTGATCTTTAAGTGATAGATTTCCAAAGGAACTTAATAAAGCAAAATGTCCAGTTCCCATTAATATCTAATGGGATTTACACCTAATCTGTTTAAGTTCCCCTGAAAAAATCACACTTATGAGAGTAGATCTTAGCAAAAGTGACTACTAACATGCATAAAGAGGATGAATGCTAAACAAACCACTCCTAGGGCACCTGTCCATATGTCTCAGTCCTGTAAAACACCATCCATTCCAAACTAGCCCTGGACTTCTGTAATAGAAACTCTCAATTTTCCACTATCTATTTGTTAGTTCTGCCATATGGAGAAAAAAATACACAGTGGGGAATGGGAATGGTGATGGGAGTTTTTTTCCCTTCCATTTGTAATCTAAAGTAAGACAGAATTTAAAGCCAGACGTCCATAGAAAAGAGCAAAGTAGAGTTCACTTACATGACTGTAGAAAGAACTTGAGTTACCTAGTGAACCCATTGTAAAGCTCTCACACATCTGCTTCCATAGGATTAATTATCTGCATAATTATTTTACAGTATTGCACCCAGATACAAAACCTTGGTTGTTTGCCATCAGTACTAAGACTTTACATTGCAAGTGAAAAACTGAATTACTCAGTATTACTTAGAATGCCATTCTTACAGAAATTCAGCACTGTCTTGATGTGATTTTTATCAGTGTTTCAGCAAAAGGGATGTATCATTTATGCAAGAAATAAATCACAGTTATGACTTTATGTCCTGTCGATGTTAAGATGCTGCTAATAAGCATGAGGCAATCTGTAGAAAGTGATGCAGATGACACAGTCAAGGGAGTAATGAGCCTTTGTCCATCTTCCCTGACAGCGTGAGGGTTTAAATCATAGGCAGGAATATCGTGATCTCATATACTGCCTTATGTAGCTCCGTCTATGGAGAATGAAGGCTCTGCAGTCAACAGGAAAAGTCAGGAATGCAGAAAAGGGGCTTAGCTATATCCCGTCATTCAGCTCAGCTACCTATTCCCAACGTCTTTCTCTGCTACTCAATGGAAATTATTACTCCTGGCCCAAAACCAGCTGAGTTGACACCTCCCTTGAGCTGAAGGCAGTCACCCACATGCACAGCAATGGAAATCCACACTGGGGAGTCCTGCAGAGCAATGGAAAACGCACTGGGGAGTCCATGGCTGTGGAGACCTAACCAGCTCTGGACACCTGCCCGCTTGCTGGCACAAGCAATGGCCCCAGGCAAGGCAGAGCAGAGGATGTGGTCACCCGACAGGTTCTTGGACCTACATAGCCTGGGTTGACTTGTACCTGCTTATGCCTTGACTCTGACCTTGAGCTGGCTTAGGTCAACCAGCACCTCACCTTCAGGGAGCCCTTGAGAGAGAAGACTCAAGCCAAGAACTCCCCCAGGGCTGTGCAGGAGAGGCACAAATTGCCTCCTCTTTCTGCTGGGCTTGGCCTCTGCAAGGAAACCCACCTCTGAAAGAGAAAAAAACCCTCCTGCCTGCCTGCCGTGGGTGTCTCCTTGCAGATGGTCATATGCTCTTTATTCTAAGTGCTGATACAGCCCAGAAAGGTTATCTAATTACAAAAACAATACTTACTGGATGCACTAATGCTTCTGCAATTTTAATAGCAATATGATAGCTAGGATTTATATTATTTTCCCTTTCTGATTAATTATTTACACAGAGACAAGCCTAGATTATTAAGTACGTGTGTGCCGTGCCAGACTGCAAAGAGATTTTTAAAAAGAAAAGGAAAGAAACAGACTCTGAACCCTTTGAAAAGAAGTGTCCAAGTGCTCCCCAACCCCATAAGCCAGCAGTTTGCATCAGGGCTATTGGGACATTTTTGCAGAACACAGCCTGGATCAAAGATGTTATGGATAATGTTCGAACTTCCTAGTTTGGTAGTAAGCTCTAATACCGAAGGAAACTGTAATGTCAACACGTCAATCAAAGAAAGCTGTGTTTATCTGTGAGTCTAACAAAATGCCACACAGGAGCGCACAACAGCTGGGAATCATCATAAAATGCAGGCAGCTCTGCAATGACTGCTCACCTATTCTCCATGTGACATGTCCCCTGTGGCCTTATCTGGAAGCGGTATGAAACACAGGAATGGGGAAGTTTTCAGAGAGACATTGTCAAATAGCCAACCCGTTTCAAAACAGAGCCATGAGTTCTTCATGGAGACTGTGGGAAGCACATATTCTCTCTCCTCTTATGGAAAAAAAAAAGCCCACCCTTTTATTTAAAATTTATCATCTTCTCCTAAGATCAAGCAGTTCTTGGAGATTTGCCCAGTATTCTTTAATAGACATGCAACAGCAAGCCCAGCAAGTCACATATTTATTGCTAATATGGCAACATCAAGCCTGGCCTGCTATTCAGGTGAGATGATCTCATTTTGAATACTTGATTAAAAAAAAAAATACAAACAAGTCCAAGTTGCATTTAAGGCTGTGGGTAAAATTTCGACCAATGTATAGAAATCAGAAAATTCTAGTCAATGTGCAGCTATTCAGCTATGGAAACATAAATCTCTGTTTTACATCTGCACATCTTATTTATCATTCTGCATACCAAAAATCAGTTTGTTCACTTCCTAGAAACCCAGATGTTTATAGAAAATTCTTCTGATATCCTCTTTCCCTGCAGTGGTGAAAATAACAGGAAATTCCTAACAATGAAAAAGACAAACTTTTATGCTTTATGTCATTAAATTCATTCAGCCTGGAAAGAAATTAATCCTATAAAGTTTTAATCAGGTGGCAACTTTGTTTTGTGCATAACGGTTTTAATAAAAAATATTTTAAAGAAGAGAAGAATCTCTAGTGCAAAATGCCCCAAAGCCTCTTTCTATGACTGTCAGTTTTAGGTCATTAGAAAACAAAAAAGAATTAGACCCACCACCCACCTCATCTGGAGCTATGCAAAATGAGGGAGAGGCCAGAGAAAAGAAGAAAAAAGCGAGTCCTCGTGAAGGCCATTTTTCAGCCTTGCATCTGAGTAGCCAGCAGAGAGATATTGCAGCTGCAAAGAGCCCTGCCATGCACCAAGGTCTGCAGAGACCCCAGGCTGTGAATGGATCTCTGCTTCTCCAAAACCCGGTGAGAACTGAACTGCTCTGGAAAAGGAGTGAGAAAGGAGCGATGTACCTGGGAACTGCAAATAACAGTCCAGGTGGCTTTGCAGCATGGAGCAATTGGGAA